AAGAGACGCGCCCAGGCTCCGCCGGGGGGCCGAGAAGCCGGGCGCTGGTGTCACTTCCGGGCTGCGGGGCCCGCCAATCAGGAGAGTCTATGCGGGTTAGGAGCGGGGCGAAAGTTTGGCAGCCGATGGGTGACCGTGGCCTAGACCAGGGTTTCTCCGCGGAGCGGCCGCGCCCCGACGTCGCGGTCTAGACGACTTAGACGCTCACCCTGCTGCCTTTTCCCTTCAGTCCTTTTTCTTCTTTCCAACGCCTCAGGTGTTTCAGCAGGAGGTGTTACGGGTCGCAAAGGGGTTTTTTTCTCTCTGGATTTCCTTTAGAGACCTAAAAGTCAATAACAATAAAATCAACACCTAGTTGGGGAAACACATCCAAACTGTATGACGGAGAAGGGATACAGTAAGCACTGGACGAGGACAAACAACACAGACTGACAGAACGACCTCTGGAAAGCCTACCCTTTTTTCTTTTTAACGCTTACTACTGACTGACTGTGAGGACTCACCGCTAGCTGACACTCTAACGGAGGAAGCAGAAGAGTAAAACAATCACTAGTCTTGACCGAGGCGCCAAACGAGAGGACGGACGCCGAGGTGGGCCCAGCGCAGACGGGCCAGCCACGACGACCTCACCTAGGAGAACCTTAACCGAAGAATGAGCGGGGAGACCGGGGGAGGCGGGGAGGGCGCGGCAGAGAACGTTCCAGTAAAGGGGCGTGGCCCGGGGCCGCGTGACGGCCGTTATGGAAATTCCGCAAACCCAGCCTGCGAAGCTTGGGCACGTGGCCGCGACCGTTACTCCCCTCGTTTCTGGAGTTTTCTCTGCTCTGTGAAAAGTGTCGGCCATGTTCAGAAACACTGATTGAATAAGAAAGTTAAAAAACCGTTTCAAGCTATACTGTGTTATCAGTTGTGTATGTATCATTTCAAAAATAATATGAACACTTTTGAAAGAGAGGGATCTGGATGGCTATTGAAAAAAACTTTTTTTGAAAGAAAGGTAGACAAACAGTAAAAATTAGCTGAATTTCTCTTTCCTTGAGATAACCATTCTCATGTATATCCTTGCAGAGCTGAGTACATACGTTTTTATTAAAGTAGCTCTTAAAGAATATTTATAAAATAAGCTACTCACCACGGTGTAGGAAGCAGAGTATCACCCTGATTACTGAACAGGAGGACTTCTCTATTACACATAGTAGTTTGGGCCAGGGACACCCCAAAGTGTTTTTAACTTTTTATAAAATAAAAAAAAAGTGAAATTTTAGGTTGATGGGAAAAACTTTCTTTGAAGTTTAGTTGACTTACGATGTGTTAGTTTCTTACTTACTCAGTTACACAGAAAAATGTTTTAACATTTACCGTTTATTGGTCTTTATATCAACAGTCATAAAATATCATTTCTGATATTTTTAAGGAGGAAAGTACCCATGAAGGCAAAAAGTGCTTAGGGCCCACGAAAATCATAATTTCACTGTGCCCCTGAGCCCACCGTGGGCCTTTCCTAGTAATTTTACCACATTAGTATTTAATCTGTAAATATATTAAGTTATACATGTTTTTAAACTTTATGAAAGTAGACTGAATGAATTTTCCCACAAATTGCTATTTACACTCAGAGATTCATTGATTTCAAGGTACTCTCAGAAGTTGCAGAGTCTAAAGTTTACACAATTTGAGGAGTATCCTTTATATTTATTTGGAATGAATAGTGCAAATTCCAAATTTTTAAATGGACAAAACCCACACATATAAAAAATGTCATTAAAATATATTTAAGCTGCAAACACAACCCAATAAAAGTTACGTATTTGGGCTTCATACACTTCACCTCAACAAGGAGGTTGAAGATCATTTTCTATACAGAGAACACAAAGATAATTCAGTCTTTTTCCTGGTAAGAATGATGAAATTGTTTATAAAAGTTTCTTCCAAATTAATGATTTCATTTGATAATGTCATAAATATTTAGGACTGTCAAGTTAAAGGAAATTTCTATGAAGCTTTTTTTCACCTATAATCTGTAGGGATTCAGAGCACATAAAGTTTCTGGTGTGGTGATTGAACCTAAATACTTAGAATCGGTTATACGTTACTACTAGGTTGTCATAGATTTTCTGATTTTTAGCTACATATTGTGAATTTTATATGTCAGTATTTCATGTCAAAATTTCAGTACTTTTTCCAGTTGGATCATTTGACTCATTACTCATCATTATTTGGATTATCAGCAATCTGAGAACATATTACTCATTATTTCTATTTGAGATGGATCTGTTATTAATGAATTACTGAATTTTTGTTATAATAATTTCTATTGATTTCATCATCATTAACCTTCACTTTTTGCCTCATTCCTTTTTTAATCAACTTTATACAGTTTATATACAATTATACACAGTGAAATATGCATTTTAAGTGTATCGTTGAGGATTTTTAGAAGTCCATTGTTTTATGTAACCATCTCTAATCAATATAAACCATTTTCTTCATGCCAGAAATGTGCTCTTGGGCCACTTGACAGGATATCCCTTTCTTCCCACTCACTCAGTGGAACCATTGATCTGATTCAGCAGATCTATCAGATTCATTTAGAATATTTTAGAACTCTGTATCAATGGAATTATACATTATGTACTCTTTTGACTGTCTTTTGTTCAACATGAAGTGTGTGACGTTGACAAATGTTGTTGAATGAATTGGCAACTCATTCTTATTGCAGAGTAAGATTATCATTAAATGAATATACCACAATTTGGTTTTTTTAATTCACCTACTGATGGATATTGTGTGGTTTCAGTTTTCCACTATTACAAATAAAGCTGAAATGAACATTATTGTACAAGACTTCTAATGGACATATGTTTTGTTTAATGTGGATAAAATTGCAGAAGTAGAACTGCTGGATTGCAGAGTAGGAATGTCTTTAACATTATGAGAACTTAACACTCCATTTTCCAAAGTGATTTTACCATCTTAAATTACCATAAACAAAGTGTAAGACTTACATTTGCTCCACAACCTTGTCAACACTATGCTTGTCATGACTCTGACATTTCAGTCATCCCAGTGAGTGAACAGTGTGCCTCATTTGTATTTCCCTGATAGCTAATGATGTAGAACATCTTTTCATATGTAGATTGGGAATGAGTTATCTTTTTATGTGAATTGTCTGCATGGGTGCTTTAAACATTTTGTTAAAAAGGAGTTTATTTTTTCAGAGCAGTGTTAGGTTCACAGCAAAATCGAGAGGAAGGTACAGAGATTTCCAATATAGCCACTTGCTGTACCCCACCCCCATGCACAGCAACCCCCATTCTCAAAATACCCCACCAGTGCAGTACCTTTTTTACAACTGATGAACCTACGCTGACATGTCATTATCACCTAGAGTCCGTAGTTTACATTAGGGTTCACTCTTGATTTGTACATTCTATT